TGATATCCTAGCATTTCTAGTGAATGGTGTAGCTTTGGTAGGAATAACTCGCGCAGGAAATATTACTTTCATATTTTTATCCTCCTTATTAGCATCACAAAGATTAGAACCAATAACCGGAAACGCACAAGCATCGACATATATCTCTTCTAAATCTCCACTGTCCCAAGAAGCCTCCATCATAATTGTATTAATACTTGACTTGTTTTCAAAGAATTTCCATTCTGCAACAGGTTCTTGTACTTTTAATCTAAACAAAAATATATTAATTACTTGTCTGATTATAGTATTAATCATAGCTTCATTCTCTGATAGTTTTTCTTCATTTGTAATTGTTCGATAACGATTCATTAAGTCATTTATTTCAGATTTTAATTTTACAATTAAAGGATGCTCTTTATCACCTATATTAGACAATCCACGATTCCCGAGAACACCGTAAATTTGTTGACGTAATTTTGTCGAAATAGCTTTGCTAACTGCATCCGTTCCTGTACGATATTCTGGAATTGATTTAGTCAAACTCAACAACTGTTCTGTTGTATTAACTATTTTCATTTCCAAATTTTGATCACCCCATTCGATTCCTCCTTCGTGTTCTTGAAGTTCCAAGTATTCACTGGATTTGTTGATAATGGTCTCGATCACAGTACGTTCTAATAAGCCAGAAATAAGATTTTTATTTTTTTTCACACCACCGGAAATTGAACAACCATATTGTAGTAATAGTTTATTTATTTCAGACTCATTAATAATGGCAACTTTTTTAAGACCACAAAACTTATCTAAAATATTATGTAAATCAAGAATATCTTTTGAAAGTTGACCAGCGCTATCAGAATCTTGATTTCCTAAATGAAAACTTGTAGCATCGCCTAAAGCAGATTGATATTTGGTAGCCTCTTTCTTTAAATCTTCGTTAGTTTTTGTTAAATCGTTTATTAATTTTAAATTCGTTGACATACTCTTATCATGATTTTTGAACTTTGATTCAAGAGTTCGATAATCATTTTCGAGATTTTGGTATTTTATTTGAAGGTTGTCATAATTCGTTTTAAGGGTTTGATGATTTTTTTCGAGAGTTCGACATTTTGTATCAAGTTTTTGATTATTGGTTTGGAGGGTTTGATGATTTTTTTCGAGAGTTCGACATTTTGTATCAAGTTTTTGATTATTGGTTTGGAGGGTTTGATGATTTATTTGAAGATTTTTACAAATTTCTTCAAGATTTCGATTTTTTATTTGAAGATCTTGATTATTAATGTTAATTTCAGGCTTTTTATGAATGTTGTTGAGATTTTGAAATTCGAGCCTTTCGGAATTTTTTGTTGATTTTTTGGACTTATTAGGCTTACCAAAAATATTATTAATATTATTCCATATAGAATTCTTCGACTCTTCTAATTCTTTGTTTTGTATTCCTAATTCAATGTATTTTGCATGTAATGCGCTATAATCCCCTTTCAGTTCTTCTATTTGATCTAAATATAATTTAATGGACTCATTATTTTTACTTTCTAAATCATAAATATTACTCTGTAATTCTTCGCACTTTTTTTCAAGTTCTATGCATTTATTTTCTAATGCGTCTGATGGCTCAGAATTATTATTATTCATATGATTATCATCAATCTTGGGGGAAATCGTTGTTAGAAGACCTGATCTTTGATAGTTTAAGAGAATTTGATTGTAAACTTCTTTACTAATTATACATTTATTACCAAAATCGAGACATAATTTTACAATCGAATCGTGCACGGGTTTTTGCAGTAAATCTTGTTTGTGTTGCAAAATTTGTTGATGTCCAATTAAGTATTCACGATATTCTCGTATGCTAGTTTGAAACTGGTTTAAGCTTTCCATCACATTTTGTTGATGTTGAATATGTTTATAATCTGACGTTAATAAATTTTGGTACTCTGTTGCGAGCCGTTGAAGTAAATCTAAAAGCGATAGCTGATTTTGTAAGAGTTCTTGGCGATTAAGTAGAGGCAAATATTGTAATTGTTGTTGGAACTGTTTTACGTATTGTTGCAATTGTTGTGACAATTCATATAACTGATTTAATTGTTGTACCTTCGTTAATTGATTTTGAAATGACGAAGGTTGCTGTTCTTGTTCTTGTTGTGCCTGTAAAAATTCCTCATGCTGTAATAATAGTTTTTGATGTTCTAGAGGCTCTTGCAAATTTCCTATGAACCTTTCCAGTAACGAATTCAATTCCGAATTCAATTCCGGACTCAATTGTAAACCTTTTAAAAAATCCAGCAGTGTTGAGAGCTGGCTCATAAAAGCTTTATGGTTTTCAAAAGATTGTCGTGTGAAGATTTCGTGTTCTTCTAAATCAATTTGCATATTTTCCATACTTAATGTAAATAACTTTTTAAAAATTCGTGTTTTTTTATATAATATATATATTTTTTCTCTGAGCCTAAAAAAGTTTTTTAAACAAAGGTTGATCTCCCATATCACATCAAGATTTTATGTTACATGAACGTGAGCCACAGCTTCGCTACAGTATTATTGATACGTATTGACATATTAAGTATCATTTTCTTATTGCAGATTGCAAATCTGGGAAAAGCGACAAGAAACTATAATTAGTTATAATGATTTTGACAATTTAGATATTGAGATTCTGCAGTTTGTTATACAATTTTCCAGTTTTAGAGTAGAATAAAAAATTCTGGTCAAAATTCGTCTTCACTGATTTTCGACGCAATGTAGTTCATTGCTTTATAATTTACTTCATAGTCACGAAACGCCAAACGTTATTTTAATGTCATGTTTTGTTATGTATTCTTAAACCCGATTTTTAAAATAAAACATGGTGTATGTATTGTTTACCCTTGATCCATTTATGGTAGCAGTTTAAGATTTTAAGGGGCTACTGAACTATGATGCCATTTAAATTTGAGAGCATAATGTCTCTTGATCTCAATTAAGTTTCATCATAAAGTCATAATACAATGTTAATCTCTTTTTTTCTTGGTATTCGATCTTTATTCCGTTTAAGTATATACCTATCATTCATAACGCATATCTTATGATTACGCCAGAGCTAAATTAGGCATCAATAAAATCGCCTTCGTTTAAGTAAATACTTATTATTCATAATTCATAACTTACAGCTGCACCCGGAGTTTGCGTTTTACTTTCCAATTCAACTCAATACAAAAAAGAACCTCAATTAAATTTCTAAATAGAACGATTATATCAGTTTGTAATTAACTTGCGCCATTTATTGGGGTTTCTGATGAGAAGTATTGTGACTTGGAAATTATTTTTTTTATCTTAGTATATATAAAAGGAATTTGTAACTTTAAAAAGTGCATTAAAGAAAATATAATACAGTAATAAACGTGATTTTATTTGTTATACATTCTCTGGTTCAAGAGATATTGTATTTTAACTTTCACATGTTTTTACTGTATGTTTTTACGAACGCTAATTATCACAATGGACGATAAGAAACATCTAACCTTATGCATACGTATTATCTTAAAGGATCAAAATTCTGAACTTAAAATCTCATTTACTACACAACATATTTTATTCGTGATGTTTTCTATAATTACTACTATCTTTAGAAAAAATAAAGGGAAGATTAAGAAATCGATTAATCTAAAAAAAGAAGTATGCACGCTGTAGACCGAATATTTCACTTTAAAAACAATTGATCCGCAGCCGACGGACTAGAATACCGAAATATCTACATAAGTACGTACGCACGTATTGTAAATACGTATATAAATATCAGATTCAATAGCATTTTTAATTTGGCATATGTTGTTCATAAAAGAATTTTTCTAGTATAATAACTCCAATTATTATGGAAGCTTTTGCCTACGAACCTGTTAGCGAAGATATACGTGTAGTTGTTGGTGTAGGTGAGGATATATACAATATTAGTCTAATTAAAAATTTTTGAATGATACATTTTTTAAAATGATTTAAAAAAAATAAAATAAAATAAATTAGACTTTGGCACTACTTATTCAGGTCAGTAAACCTTTAATCGCTAAATTTCGTTTCGACATTTTTACTAATGTCAATTATTCCAATTTATTAGGATTTGCTTACGCTTATGTACAAGAAAATAAGGAGAAAATTGAAATTGTAGTTAATGATGAATGGGGAAATTTCAAAAGTCCTAATAAAACCAATACTGCATTGCAATATGACGAAACTTATAGAGTTGTTGTTAATTGGGGTGCTGGTGCATTAAGCTCCGAGCCTACAAAACGAAGAAGACTCAACTTACCAAAGCCAATAGAATATTTTAAATTTTATTTGGGCGATGATGTTCCTGACAGTAAAAAACCAAGATTACCACAAGAAATTACTTTTGAAAAGGCTATATCTGATTTTCTCCGTGAAATGGGCAAGTAATTATAAAGTAAATCTGTGAATATTAAATATATACATATATATTAAAAATTGACTTCAACTTATATTTAGGCAAGGTATGATGATAAAATGATATTATATTATGGTATAGCATATTATATTCAAATTTTATAAACCCTATTGTTAAATGATAGACTATGAAAGAAAAAATAGAAAATCATTGGCCTGGAATAGATTTTTATAAACATGTGCTACTTGTTTTTTCTGTGCCAGCTGGTAATTATCATTTTTTAAATAAATGCATAAATTCACGTGGCATATAACTCATAAATAGTATTAATTCGTTATTTAAGAATTCAACGAAAATGTTAGAATAATTATGAGAAGATGCATACATAATGCTGGCTTAATTAGAACTCTTGGCACATTAAACCTTCAATTTACCACTGAACGTATGAATCGTTTTTTTTTATAACATTTTCATCCGACATTATAATTTATAGTCATATAAATTCTTAGCGGAAGCCGCGTCAGTATATTGCATAAATAAATTGAAAGAGCTCGACATGAAGGAAGGAGGTGATTTGTTATCACAGCGAATTTATAAAATTAAGCTAAACTTTGTCACCAAATCCAAGTATTTGATCACAAATTTGGGCATTTCATAAATTCGTAGCAGTGTTAAATGTTTTAGTTTGAATGCTTTTTTATTTACAGCTATTAATATATTACTATATGTTTTATATATTTAATTTAGTAACTTATTTGGTTGTTGATTGTGGCGGTGGAACCGTAGATTTAACAGTAAGAAGATTATTACCAGGCGGTCGAATAGCAGAAACAACTGAACGTACAGGTGATTTTTGTGGTGGCACTTATGTTGATGACGAGTTCATCAAATTTCTTGAGGAGAAAGCTGGTAAATCTGCTGTAAAAATGTTAAAGGAGAAGCATTACGATCAAATTAATTATATGGTGCATAAATATTTTTGCCCTGAAATTAAAATTCCTTTCAGTGGTAGAAAGGATGGTTTTAAAACTATTGAATTTGACATTGAAAAAAAATGTCCTGCACTTATCCAATATATAACCGGTTCGGAAAGAGACAATTTGGAAGATGATGAATGGCTTATTGATCTTGATTTTGATACTGTGAAATCCTTTTTTGATCCGGTAATTAGAAAGGTTTTAAGATTGATCGCTTTACAATTATCGAAATGTCCGGATTGCTCTGTGCTATTTTTGGTTGGAGGCTTTGGTGAATCAAGGTATCTTCAACATAGAATTAAAGAAGAATTTGGAAATCAAGTAAAAATAGCAAGTATGTTTTACTATTTTTCAAAATCCTTGTGTATTATGATAAAATATTTATACAGCATGTATTTATTTTTTTTTATTTGCCACAGTTCCACCTAACCCATCGACTGCAATTTTGAGAGGTGCATGTGAATATGGATTTGATACGAAAACCGTAGCTACAAGAGTATTAAAATGGTCTTATGGTGTTATGGTTTCTAGACTTTGGGTAAATATCATCAGCCGAAAATTATAATGGTGAGATGTTAACCAAATCAATTTTTTTAAAATATGTATTATTAGAAAGTCGGTGATCCAATATCTCGTAAGGATTCTAATGGTAGGATAGACAAGTTTTACTTATTAGCTAGCAAGGGAACAGAAGTGGATGTGGAAAAAGAGTTTTCCGATTCTGTGGCTCCAGTGTTTCCGGATCAAACTGCTATTTTTGTTCAATTTTTCTATACAACCGAATATAATGCAACATATTGTGATGAACCTCATATGAGAAAGTTAGGTAGTTTCAGAGTTGATGGCATACCTACTGAGAGTTCAGGAAATAATCGTTCTGTGCTTATATCATTGCGTTTTGCATCTATGGAATCTACGGTCGCAACAGCAAAAAGCAAACATAATGGCAACGTCTATCGCACAACATTTTCAATGGAATAATATGCTATTCCATTTGCTTAAAGCATTGCATAAAATACTGAAGTTATGCACATTGGACAACCATTGCATATTCGTGTAACATTTATGCATATTTGATTTTAGCGCGTTGTAATTAGGTTTTTATAAGCTTAATGAATAACGGGTCAAATGCTTTAATAAGTTTCATATCCTTGTCATTTAATGACGGATTAACATATTAAAAAAAACATTATTTTTGTTATTACAAAATTTGTTTTATCGAAATTACTTAATTTGAATGATATTTTCAATTTTTGTACGTAGTGTATTGTACATGGGTACTGTAACAACAATTTTTTACTTAAACCTAAGTAAAGTAGTTTAGGGTTAGGGTAGGGTGATAGCTTATACTAAAATTTCGTTTTTGTTAGAACCCAAAAGGCGGTTTCATAATTGATTTTTTGATATAAACAATTTTTAAAGAAAGTGATAATTTTAGGTTCTACCACAAAATCTCGATATCCAAAATCCCCGAAACCATAATCCCGACGTGACAATTAATATTTAAAGAAGTAATCACATTAATAATCATTGTCAGACTTTAAATTTTTAATTGTCACATCACGCGATGTCATTAATATGATCTGTCAAGATTTTGGGTGTGTGGTAGAACCATATACCGGATCTTGCACTCTGATTGGTTTTTCTATATACCCGATTGTACAAATAGAATTTTCCTTTTATTTATTATATGAGTGCCGCCAAGGGAAAACCTGTCATCGGACTTTCAATTATATTTTGTGTACAGTTAGTCGTCTATGAAAAATCTATCATAATGATAGATTTTATTCAATCATAATTTACAAAATCAAAAAAAAATCTACAAATGATTTACATAAAATTAACCAATCAAACGAATTTTCTCCTATAAGCAATTAGGGCTAGTGGGTTATATAGATATCAAGAATGCAACTTGTGCAGTACGTAGATCATATGTAATAGTTATATCCTGGGCAGTTGGGTATAAGTGGGGCTGAAAGTCCCGCTTATACACATAGTGCCTAGGGTATAACTGATTTATGCCCTGCGATCTTGATATAGTGACCAGGGTATAAATTAAATTCGCTCCCCTAATTTTGGACGTCTCCCTAGGAGTACGTAGTTAGTGATGCCCAAAAATTTTATTATTTCGTGTAACCTGAGCCTGAAAAACACCAAATTTTGGCGAATTTTACTAATAAAACTTGCTAACCGATGTACTAAGTAAAATTGCTTGAATCGTAATTTTGCTATCCCTTAAACCGTCCAGCGGCCAAATATGCCCGCTAGAATATATTTTTTTATATTTTTTTATAATTGCTTAAAA